ATGGAGTTTAACAGGAGCTGTTACCATAATAGCATGAAACTCAAAATAATTTTATTGCATAGGGAAGAGTGGGTTGAGTATTTCCAATTATTAGAAATGAGAAGACCAGTACCCTTCCATCCTGACGGGGGGTGTGAGAGAAAGGGAAGCTGTTAGAGAGAACAGCAGGGGTAGCGTAGTCTTCTGGACGAATCCAGGTCTCAGTCAAGCCCAAGATACTAAGAGTAGACTGAGAAGCAGTGGCCAGAATGAAGTTTGTTGACAGCTGACTGACAATTCCAGAGACCCACAGAAAATGACAGGACAGGATAGGATGCAGCTTAGCAAGATTGCGTTGCCGTCTGCGTGTGATGTTAGAGCATTGTTGAGAGAGAACAAGAATGTATTGGAAACATACTACCGCCTACCTGACTCTGCCTGAGAGGTAAGGAAAAATACACCTACTTGAGATTATATTTTTTAATATCTCTGAAATAACTGACTGTATTCTTGAAAACAATCTTTTATTGGACTATTGAATAAAATATTAGTTAAGCTGGTGTGTGGTGTGCGTTCTGGCGCAATATGGCTATGGTGGTGGTTGAGGAGATTCATGTAAAGTGCTTTGAGTACCCAGAAAAGTGCTATATAAATGCAACAAATTAATAATTAATTAATTAAAACAATCTTTTATTGTACTATTTAATAAAATATTAGTTAATTATCAAAGAAAGAAAAAATGATTAGCCATAATATGGACTATTGTAAATGCTGTGATACTGTAATGCTCAGATACTGTGATTTCCTTCTCACATTGCTGATTTCACCATTAACTCTTCACCTGAACAGTTTATGTTGCTGTATATGGTATCATTGTAATCCTTGACCATCAAAACATAGGGGTAGACATCACCTTACACAAAATACATAATTTGGTTATGGCGGCAAGTAAAATGGTCGCCATGGCAACCACGGGGTGTTTTTGCGACGGCTCCATTTCTGAAAATGTTCAGGGCCCTAACCTGTACAATTGTACCAAGTGTCATGCTTTTATGAAAAAGTGAACATATCACCTCAAATTTTGCACATATCACCTGGACTATTCAGCAGTTTCAGATTATGTAAATCACGCTCTGCATGACTGATGTATGATTCGGAATAAATAACCTGTTAAACTGTTAGGGCAATGAAGTCAGGGATCGCACTTGCTGTTTGAAATCAAATATTGTATGGTTTCTTGAGAGTGAGTCAGTTTAGGGTTAATATTTTGAAGTCTTAACAAGTCTGGAACTACTTGGCCTACTAAATCCATTATAAGATTTGAGAGAAAATAAAATATAGCTTAAATA